CTCTTTTCTGAATTCATTCAGAAGTTTATCCCTATCTTCCTTCAGCTCTATGATTACCTTGTTTGTGTGTTCTTTAAATTCACTGAATTCTTTTATCATATTCATCATTGTTCTTTTGAGTTCCATGTCCTGCATTGTCTCTAGGGGATTCTCATTGTGCTCCTCTAGAGGATTACTGGTATTTGGTGGGGATATGTTATTTTGGTTTTTCATGTTATTATTTTTTCTCTGTGATTTTGACATGTGAATTTCTTTTGTAGTTTCTGACTCTTGTGTGATACTCGGGCCTTCAAGTTTAGTTCTGCTTCTTTTTTTTTGAGCTTTATGTGTCGTTGTGGTTTACTTTTTGGGTAGGAAGAGCTGGTTCGTCTAAGCTTCTGGTTCTCTCTTTTGATTTTATATTGTCGAGGCCGCATTGATTTTGTCTTCAGTAGTTCCGTGGTGGCCCAATTCCAATGTGGATCAGAAGTTTTCAGACTTTCTCCTTAGGTCTGGACTCTTGTAAGAATGCTTTTGGCCTCAGGAAATGGGTGTTGGACTGACCTGAGACCCTGGCCGTGCCACGCAGGGATGCAAAGGCAAAGGCTGATGGGGTGGGAATAAGTGCCAAGATTTCCCAGGGAGTGGATTGAGTAGCTGGGTTGTCCTGGATGCAAAGGATCAGGGATTGGCAAGGTAAGCCTCGGAGCCTCAGAAAGAGGCTTTCAGGCCCAGAAAGAGGCTGGCTGGTGTTGCAGGACCAGGGAAGCAGAGAGAGGTGAGGGCTGGGCCAGGTCCAGAGGCAGTACTCCTGGGGCCCAAGGAAGGCACCAAGCCGGTCCAGGTGAAAAGGGTCAGGAAGCAGCACTGGACTGCGCTATAGACTTACCCCAAGAGGTCTGAGAATAGTAATGCAGGCTAGGAGAGTTAGCCGGTGGTGCAGGCCCAGGGAAGCAGAGAGAGGTGAGGGCGGGGCCAGGACCAGAAGCGGTGGTCCTGGAGCCCAAGAAAGGGACTGAGTTGGTCTGGGCGAGAAGGGTCAGGAAGCAGTATTGGTTCCCCAGGTGTCTGGGGCCCCAAGACTAGGAATGGCGCAGGGCCCAAACTAGGAGTATAGAATGGAGGGAGGGATGGAAGGGTGAATGTGGCTTAGGGAGTCCCGGCGCGGAGAGTTGCACTATAGACTTACCCCAAGAGGCCTGAGGATAATAGTCTGTTTACTTTTGTTGCACTATAGACTTACCCCAAGAGGCCTGAGGATAGTAGTCTGTTTACTTTTAACTTCAGTGCCACAGCAGGCAGTATTGTATCACTGATTCATAGTAAAGTATTTGACACAATTTTGAATTGTGAATTTGTGAGTCTTTCTATTGTTACATGAATAAAACTAAACTTCTTTTTTGAGAAATGAATTTTTGTTAATATTTGTATCTTAGCAATGGGGTCCTACATAAGGTACAGAGTCCTTTCTGGTGTGTGTATTTTTTTTTTATATTATTTTATGATTTGGCATTTCTCAGATGCTTTATTTTTACTTTGAAGTAAATGAATTTTAAGTTTCACCAGCTATTTGAAAATCCAGAAATTTTTATGAAAATTTCCCTTTTTTTCTTCTTTTTTTGCTGAGTCTCATGTTTTTTCTTCGAACTTGAGCTTATTTTGTAGCTTATTTTGTAGCTGAGGATAGCCTTGAACTTTCGATCCTCCTGCTTCCACCTCCTGATTGCTGGGATTACAGTCCCATGCCACCATGTCCTTTTATGTGGTGCAAGGGATTGAACCCAGGGCTTTGTGCATGTAAAGTATTCCTCCAGATCAGCTACATCCCTAGCTCTGACAAACTTTTTCAATTTGTTTTCACTGGCCTAGCCATGTTGAATCACTACAGATGTTTTATAAAACCATGCATCTTAGTTTTTTTTCTTACTGCTGCATTGAAATACTCTGACGAAAACAACTTAAGGGAGAAAGAGTTTATTTTATCTCACAGTCCATGGCAGAGAAGTTAAGGACTGGTCACATTGCATCTACAATCAGGAAGCAGAGAGGGACAAAAGCATCCTTAACTGATTCTCTCTGAGATTTTATGCAGTCCAGGATCTGCCTAGGGAATGGTCCTGCCCACAGTTAACATGGGCTTTTCTACATCAATTACTGTAACCAAGATAACCCCTCAGAGGCATGCCCAGAGGCCCTTCTCCTAGGGGATTTTAGATTCTGTCAAGTGGGCAATACTAACTTTTGTTTATCTTGGTTATTGCCCATTTTGGGGGGTGTGTTTGTGTGTATACCACTTGCCCCTCTTAAGTTTTTTTTCAAAAAAAATTTTTGAGTTTTTGTGCATTTCATATAATAGTTTTTAATAAAATTTAGACCCCCTCCCCCATACATGCCTTCACAGACTCCCCCCACCAGACCTCATGTGTTCTGTCATGTATGTTAAGTCCTATCTGGTCAAGCATTTGTACCCAGATATCCTTCAGTACAAGTTCATTCACTGGAGTCTGATCAGCCTATCTAGAGATCTTAAAGAAGATCTACTCACCTTTACCCAGCAGTAATTACGTGACAGCAGTTCTCAGCTTAGGCCAGCCTGCAGCCCATTTCCCTCGCTCCACACTGGGCCCTTGTCTGGTTGAGTTGGCATGGGTCTTATGCTCGATGCCACCATTGCCACAAGTTCACACAAGCAAGCTTTCAGTGGACTGAAAGCGTGTTTCTCCGTATTCATGGACTAACCCTGGCTCTTGCAATCTTTCTCCTTCCTTTTCTGCAATGGTCCCTGAGCCGTGGGTGGGTGAAGTTTAATATAGGAGTCTTATCCAGGGACACAAATTCTGTAGTCTCTTATTCTCTACAGTTTGAGCAGTTGTGGTCTTCTCTGTGCATCGCACTCTGTTGCATGAGGAAGTTTGCTTGTGAGAGTTGAGCATTGTACTAGTATTCTCTCCTCTTCCTGTTCTGCTCTGTTTTATGAGCCTTAGGTATAGAGGTTCAGCTGTAGATATGTCACCTAGGACTGGATATCTCTCAGATGTATATTCTTTGTGTGTGACCAGTTGTGGAACTGTGTAATAGCCTCTATCTGTTGCAAAAAGAAGCTTCTTTGATGATTGGTGTTTGGAATACTTGTCTGTAAATATAAGGATCCATATTTAGCATATGGTAAGAAATTTCATTTGTTGGTTCACTTCAATATATGGCATTGTTGCATATGTTCTTAAAATTTACTGAATTACTTTCTATAATTTAGTCACATCAGTCATTCTGGGAGGAGCACATGTATATTTAGTCATTATCACACTGCCTATGTATATATGTTCTTGTGCCTAGGTTTTGTATTTATAGAAACTGCAGCTAAAATTAGAAGATAATAAATATATGACCTTTTTTTAAACAAAAAATTTGTGTAGGCAGTGCTCAGAGTGTGACCAGGCGGGAAGCAGTGACATGGAAGCAGACATGGCCATGGAAACCTTGCCAGATGGGACCAAACGATCAAGAAGGCAGATCAAGGAGCCAGTGAAATTTGTTCCTCAAGATGTGCCACCAGAGCCCAAGAAGATTCCAATAAGAAACACGGTATTTATTCTTCATTTATCAGTCATGTTGACATTCGGAGGCCTCAATTTAAGAAGATGAGAAATAGGGGCTAGAGAGATGGATGATTCAGTGGTTAAGAACACTGCTCTTGGCAGAAGACCTGGGTTCAAATCACAACACCCACATGGCAGCTAACAACTGTCTATAACTCCAGTCCCAGGGGATCTGACAGCCTCTTCTGACCTCCACGGGCATTGCATGACACAGGTGCACTTACCTACATGCAGGCTATACACGCATACACATAAAATAAAAATAATAAAATTTAAAAAAAAGAAAATGAGAAATACAAAGAGTAAACATACACTCAGAACTCAGACAAGCATGTATATTGCTCTTGGTTATTTCTATGACTTTTCTTTTTCAGTATTATGAAATGTATTATATTTAGCTGAGAGTTTAGTATTTGTGTTTAGGTGAAAGCATAAGAGTGAACATAGTATCTAGCATTTCACTTAAAAATTCCCAAAGGCTTGGGGGGATCCCCTGTGCCTGCCTTCGCAATCTTGCCTGCCTAGCACAAGTTTACCCTTCAAGTTTTGAGTTTTGTGTGGAGTCATACCTTTTCCTTCTGTAGTCTGATGTTTTGACCAACATGATATTGGTCTGATTAATGCTTAGTGACCCGTGTAATTGTAATTCATTTATTTTGACTGATAGTTTTCTGTAGAAAGAATAGATCAAGACCGAGTGTTTTCTTTGTTCTGTTCATAGGCAGTTTGAGTAATTCCTTGCTTTACTGGTAGCAACTTTTCTTTAACTGTTTCTGTGAATGTCCTTTGTAATATGGTAAGAAGGAGTTAGGATTTACAGTAAGATTGATATGCTGAGTTACAGGCTGTTTGTTTTTCCCTTTTGCCAGATTAGGACATGTTTGTCATACTGTTTACACACATGCTACAATTGATAGTGCTCTTGTATTTCACAGACTTGTCCAATGTTTTAGTGCTTTTTAGTGATGCATGTAAAAGACCTGTGTTGTCATTGTGGCCTGTGTTTTCCTTACTACTAATGATTTTAAGCATTTATTTATGTTTTTGGCCCACTTTATTTTCTCTTCTAGCAAATGTGTGTCTAAATCCTTGCCAGTGCTTCTTTTTCATTGAAAATGCTTTATGCTCAAGATTTAAACAATTTTTTCCTGAAAGCATTTCTGCTTGTTGTTACTAGGTTCATGAGAATCTCTTTAACACTGAACTATTTTAATAAAAGTTTGGTGTGTGTTTTCTACCCCATCAGTGGAATATATTTCCCCTCTGACCCATAAGGCTGTCTTGTGGTTACAAATTCTTAAAAGAGACATTTTTCACTTTCTTGCCTTGTACCAAGGCAGAGAATATTTTGTCTTTTTGGTTCTGAGCCTGAGCCTTTAATGGCTGTACCAGCTCTCCAGCCCATGGGCAGAGATTTTTTTGAGAAAAAAATTTCTCCTTGAGGTAGGTAGTTTTGGGCTTCGCTGTCAGGATTTGTTTTGTCCTATAGTTCTGAGAGAGAATGCTTCATTCAGGTTTGCTATAAGTGCTGATTGATAAGAGTTTGAGAGCTGCTCTATCTTAGGTAATTTAAATTATTTTGCAGTTTAAACACAAAAACTAGCCATGTGTGGTGGCGCACATCTTAGTTCCAGCATTCAGGAGGCCCAGCTCTCTGAGATCGAGGCTAGCCTGGTCTATATAGCCTGTTCCAGGCCAGCTGGAGCTACAGGGAGACCCTATCTTAAAAAGTTGAAATAGTTTTATTTATAATCCTCACAATCCTCATTTTTTTCTTTCTTCCTTTTTCCTCTCTTCCTTTTTTCCTTTTTTTTTTTCCTTTCTTTCAGATAAAGTCTTGCTAGGCTGGCACCAAACTTGTAATCTTTCTGTCTCAGCCTCTCAAATCTGAGATTGCAGGTGTGGACTACTACATCTGGCTGCATTTTCTTTTCTTTTTTTTTTTTTTTGCTAGGTTTTGTCTTTTTTCGACAGGGTCTCGCTGTAGCCCCAGTTGGCCTGGAACTTGATTTGTTGACCAGACTGGCCTCCATCTCACAGAGATCCCAGAGATCTGCCTGCCTCTGCCTCTGGATTGGTGGAATTAAAGGCGTATGCCACCACACCTGGCTCTGGCTGCACTTTCTATTTTTAGTGCAGCTTGAGATTTTTCTGTCTTTAAATATAATAGTTGTATTTTTGCTAGTTTTCTATTTTCTGCCATTATTGATGATTGTGGCAAATGTGGTTTCCAGCCTCAGACAATAGGTGATTATGGCAATGGCAGTAGAGAGAGGTGCCGATGTGACCACAGATAACCGAGCATAGTAACTAACTGCTTAATGAAGTAATTGCTTGATACAGGGTTAGTTTCCTATAGAGTGGCTTCCAGACTTTACCCTGTACCCAAGGGTTTCCTGACCCTCTACCATTTCTCTTATTTCTGAGGATGATACTGATTTTTTAAATCTGTATTCCCTAGCTGTGATTATTGTGCAAGAAATCCAATAGATTCTTCATTAAATGGTTAAATGAATCACTGGCAATGAAAATCTATAGCTCGTGGCTTGAAGATTTATAAGATACCAAGAGGACAACTTCATTGTAGGCTAAAGGCATAGACTAGACGGTTAACTCCTTGTCTTCCTGCGTGTCTAGGTAGGACCTCATTATATTTCCCATGTAATTATGAAGGAGTAGGTTTCTCCCTATTTCCTTTTTAAAAAAAGTTTGAAAGGATAAATAAAGATTGTTAATAAATAAGTGGTCTTCAGATAAATGTGTTTGCTTGTTTTAACCCTGTGATTTTTCTTCCATTCTTCCTCTATAGAAGCCATACAAAGGGATTTCTCTTACCTGACATTTTAGCAAGAATGATCTGATTTATTTCAGTTATACTAATGAATTCTTTCCCTCAAAGCTGTGATGTACTTTTTTAGGAATAAAAATTAGTTCATTCACTATGAAAATCAGTGTAGAATTTGCTCTAAAACTACTAAAAGTAGAAGTACTGTATGATCAGCTTACCCCACCTGTAGCAGCACACATCTTACCTTTTTTGTTCTAAGAATGCACAGGTAGATGGGTGCTGAGGGAGCGATTCCAGCAAAGCTAATTAAAGTTTGAGGATTTACATTCATTCAGTTAATTTTTCAATGCTTCTGTTAGCTTTCAAATGTGAGGGAGCACATTTCCAAGATTGCTCAAAACTGTGTTTCTCTAGATTGTGGTCATAATGAGCTTGATATAAATATTTTTGAGCAAAAATACTCTAATTTTGGATATGTAATGAAATTGCTTATACCTTTGTGTTACTGAATTTAAACCCAAAGTAACATTTTGTTATGACAGGGAGATCCTTATCTATATGAGTTTGTGTGATTGTCTTATAAAGATTTTGTTTCCAAGTACTATTTTTATTTTCAAATAGTCACTGTTAAATCCCTCCTCCCTTTTTGAGGCAGGATTTATGTAGTCCAGGCTGACTCCGAACTCATTCCTTCAACTTTTGATTCTCTTTTAACTCCGAAGTGCCATGATTACAGGTGTGCACCACCATACCCAGTTTTATGTGGTGCTGGGATTAAGCCCAGAGCTTCCTGTATGTTAGGAAAACGCTGTTACCAAGTGCTATTGCATCCCCAGCGTTAATAAATGTATTTGACTTCACATTTGATTTATATATTGTAGAGGACAGGAAAATGACCTTCCTGCTCCCCAGAGATATTCATGTCCTAATTGTCAGAATTTGTGAATATGTTCCCTTGGCAAATGGACTTTTTAGGCATGATTAAAGTTAAAGACATTGAGGTGTGGGTGGGAATTAGCTAGGAATATCATGTGGCTCTCATCTAACCAAATTGCATACCTGAAACAGAGGACCTTTGCCTTCGGTCAGAGGGAGATGACCAAAGGCAAGGATTCAGAAGGGCAACACTGTTGCCTCTGAAAGTGGAAGAATGGGAGCATGAAGTAAGGGATGTGAGCGACTTCTAGGAGTTGGAACAGGAGGAAGAAAGATTCTCCCCTCAGAACCTCTAGAACACTTAGATTTTAGCCTGGGAAAACCATGGCAGAATTCTGATCTACAGAATTCTAAGGTACTGAATTTGTTTTCTTTTAAACAGTGATAGGAACAAATTAAACAGTGAGGTCTACATTTCTTTTAACATTTAAAACTGAAATGGGAGGCCAGGTGTGGTACACACCTTTAATCCCAGGACTCAGGAGGCAGAGGCAGGCAGATCTGTGAGTTTGAGGCTAGGCTGGTCCACACAGTTCCAGACCAGCTGAGGCTACAGGGAGACCCTGTCTCAAAAATACCAAAACAAAACAAAACAAAAAAAACTGAAATGGGAAAATGATTTACAGCAATTCATGCTTTGAAGCTGTAGATATTTGAAGAAAGCTCTAATAGTGCGGTAGTCTATACCTACTAAATGCTTTGCTGTTAAAAGATGCAGAGCTTTGGGGTCTTTTTTACCCTAACTGCCTACCCAGTTCCTACCTCCTATTCTTCTCACACCATCCTCTGAAGAGCTTACCCAAATTGCCTATAGGGAATCTGGGTGCAGACTGCTCTGGCTTCTTCTTGCTGAACAGGGTTGCAAGGTGAGGTAATTGGGGTACCCCTTCAGTGGGTCTATCTAAAAGACTCCCAAATTGCATAACTCTTACCTGTAGGGAGAAAAGAAAGTCCTTGTCAAAAGTATTTGGGAGCTCTTATCTAATCCCTAAGAGATTTTAGGGTTATCTCTTCAGAGGGGGGAATGTTAGAGTAGCAAAAAGCCCTATAAAGGGAGGTAGAGAGGGAGGAAGGGAGGGAGGAAAGGAGTGAGGGAGTACATAAAGTTGTGAGAAAAAAGTGATGGGGAGCTATGGGAGGTGTTGGAGGGGAGGGAGTGAGCGTGGATTTGATCAAAACACCATATATGCATGTATAAAATTCTCAGTAAAGTTTTTTTTTTTAAGTTAAAAAAAAAAAAAGATACGGAGCTGGTAGTGGATTTTCCAGTCTTTAATTTCTTTATCATTGATGGAAATTGAACTGGTTTTGTAAGTGGCATTTTAGCTTTTATTTATATAAGTACAAAATTGAACTATTATAAATGGGGAATTTGTTTATTGTACTTTAATGTTTACTACAATTGAAATTAATTTATAATTCAGTTTTTCCTGACCAAGATTAAATCTACAATCCTTTGGCTTCACTGTGCCCCTGGCCTTGTTTTCGTGTTTCTAGACCAGTATACATCTTTACTCTCACTGCCACACAGCCTGCTTAGTTTTCTCTGCTGCCTCCTGGCTTTGCTCAGGGTCCTAGCACTTTCATGTGGCCATGTTCACTGTGCTCTTTTATAGCTCTTCCTTACCAGTGTTGAGCTCTGTGTCTCTCATTCTTGGTGAAAGATCGCAAAAATCAGTTTATTTCCTAGAATCTTTAAACAAAAAATTTGTTACACTTTTTTCTTATACCACTTTTTAAAAGGATGCATAGTTTGTTCAATATTAAAGGTAATAAAATATGACTCATTTACACTTAAGAATAATTTTGTTAGATTTTAGATGAAACTTTAAAAGATTTGTTATTTTTAAGTGTGTGTGTGTGTGTGTGTGTGTGTGTGTGTGTGTATGTGCATGCACGCGCACATTGTCACAAGTGTGCAGATGCCCTTGGAGTTCAGAGGGGAGGGTATTGGATCCTCTGGAGCTGAAGTTATAGGGAGTTGTGAGCCCCCTTGCAAGGGTGTTGGGAACTGAACTTCGAGTCCTCTGCAAGAACACCACTGGCTCTTAACTACTGAGCCAGCTCTCCAGCCTCAAGATGAAACTTTAAAAGACCTGAGTAGCATATGATTTTATTAATTTTTTTTATTTTACTTGTTCTTATACGTATCTTTGTAATTTCTGTTTTGATATCTTTGGACTCACGGATCCAGATGCTGGGTGAACAGGATGGGAATTGATCCCATTCTCCTCGTGTGCTATTCATATTTCATGGGTGAAGCTATAGAATTACTGTGAAGACAGCCCGGGATACTTCTTTTAAGGACCATATTATGTATACATTTTTCTCTGTGTTGGTTCTTCTGTGGAAAGTATTTTCTTCCTTTTAGGCAAAAAATTACTTTTGAAGGAAAATTAGCTTGTCCATATCTCTTTTGAAGTTACTTTAAAAATGATGTTTGTACTTTTGGGCATATTTCCTAATAACTTTAATGTAACTTGAAAGCTTTCAGAATTTTTTTTTTCTTTACACTGTATGTCATCTGGTGACTTTTCATCTTTTACGCAAGTGTCAAAGGGCTTTCTGGGGCCTATCTTCTCCGGGTCTTATACATAAACACATGTATCACCTTCTCCTTTCTTTGAAGTTCTGAGATTGTTATTTTGCCTGACTCATAAATTTTAGTTGTGAGATATATATATATATATATATATTTAAGTCAAAATAAATGGAATGCCAGCGTTCACTACTTCTTGTAGGTCAGTATTTTGGAAAGAGAATTAAACATGTTTAATTTGCTTCCTTCTATTGATATTTATAAGCTATTAAGCCAAGTGGCAATGTTTGTTTATTTATTTACTTGTATTAATTTTAAAACTTTTAAAAGTGTTTTTCAAGTTAGCATGCAGAGTAGTTTCCATTGACTGTAATTCTCCTAGGTACTTGTTTTGAAATGAAAGCAAACTTCATTGAGCATCACAGTGTTATTTATTTAATAAGGTTGAATAAGAGATTTACACTATCAAATTTTTGGTCGTCTCTATTTGGGATTAAATTATGGACCTTAGATTTAACATACAAGAAAAAATTACTAAATTAAGAGTTTAAATACTTAGGTTTGAGGTTTACTTCTCAATTATTAATAGTGTGACACCATCAACTCAGGTTTACCTCTCAGTTATCAATAGTGTGACACCATCAACTCAGGTTTACCTCTCAGTTATCAATAATGTGACACCATCAACTCGTTCCTCTGGAATGCTGTTTCAGAGCTTCCAGTGGTTAGGATTTCATATTTTTATGCCAGCCTTGTGTTTCTAACTAGAAATTCTGTTGTGTTAAATTACTATATCAGTGATCACTGTTTGATAAAAAATGTACCTAGTTTTAAATAACTGTTTTAGATGATTGCAAACATACTAATATAAAAATGACTCTTTAATAACATAAATATAGAGAGGGGAATTTACAAATATAGGGAGAAGGGTAAATACACATTGTATGATACAATCATGAGACAGTATGCTCTATTACACATTATACAGTGTCATGCAGCATGTGAGTAGGGAGTCAGTTCTAATAGTGGAATCATTATATTTAAAGAGATCATCAAATGTAAAATAGAGATTTGAGTACCTGCAATATCAAATCTGAAATGGTCATAGAATTTTGAGTTATGGAATGTTTTAGATTTTAGAGCATTTAAAATTTAGGATATTTGGATTAGGAATGCTAATGGCAAAGTCAATGCCATTATTCTTAAATCTGAAAAAGAAATCTGAAACATTTATGGTCTCAGTTATTTTGTATAAGGGAAAACCAACCTGTAATTTCTTAAAAGCATGAAAACTATATATTTATATACTTGAAGAATTCAAAGCCAAATGAAATAAAGTTACTTGTTAACAAAAAAAAAAGTATTTTGAAGGGCTTTGAGCATTTTGTGCATAAGTTTTTGGAATTTCAATGAGTAATTTGAGTATTTTCTCCATAATATAATTTGCTGTTCTAAAACCTTAATGAAATATATGAAAATTGTAGTAATTACATTAAAGGGGAAAAATATTGAAACTTTTTGCCAAGTCTTTTGTGTTGTTTTATATGGTATAGTATAATCATTTATTAGTTTCAAATGAACCTTTTATAGTTTATTTTTTATTATGTAGCTTATAGGCTTTTGATTATCTGATAGAAGATTGCACAGTATGTATTTAGTACTTTGGTACTGATTAACAAGGTACTTGATATTATGAAGAACTGAAGTTTAAGACAGAATTGATGTATTTATGTTAGAAGGAATTCTTCTGAGAATTGATAGAATCTACTATTCTAACTGTCAAATGAATGTTTCTTAATCTCAGCTGTTAGAATAAAATATAAGTGGTACCTCCTTTATCTTCTAGTTTCTAGAGCAGTGGTCTGCAGATGGGGATTGCCTGTAGAGGCTGTGCTCTGTGGTGAAGAGTTTAACCATACTGGCTGTAAATACTATTATAATACTTTTAAGCATTTAGATGCTGTTTTTCAAGTGGCAAATGCAGTATGAAATAAATGATGTAAATTTTAACTAGTTTCCTTTTTAACTAAGATATTTGGGGTTTATAAGGACTTTGTCTTCCACTTTTTATGGCTATGTAGGGATTTCTTTGTATCACAAAAACATATATATGGTTACATGTGTGAGCAAACAATAGATGTGACACATGATTACAGTTTCAGTGTTTCAGTTATAAAAGTGATTTGTGATAAGATATGAAAAGTTACATGCTCTGAGTAAATCATAGATATAATATATAATGTTGAAGAAAACCCTTCAGAATAGTTTTTGGAAAGTTGCTGTTTTCTATCAGAAACTTTTTTATTTAAAAGAAGAGTATAAGTTGTATTTAAATTGTCATCCTATTTTTTGTATGATATAATTTTAATAACATGCAATGGACTAATGCAACATTACTTAGAAGTGCTAATTTTCCAAGTGTAACTGAAGCAGTAACATTTATGTTTATCATTATTTAAACACTAGATATTTTTGTGCATTTTTCTTTCAGAGAACCAGAGGACGAAAACGAAGCTTTGTTCCTGAGGAAGAGAAACACGAGGTTGGAATAAACTAAGCACTTTTTATACAGTCTGAAGTTTGAGAAGCTTTCTTTAAGTTATTCCTGTTTTCCCCCTTTTTTGATTATTTTTTTATTGGTTCTCCCTTGTATGGCAGGAAAGAGTTCCTAGAGAAAGAAGGCAGAGACAGTCTGTATTGCAAAAGAAGCCCAAGGCTGAAGATTTAAGAACTGAGTGTGCAACTTGTAAAGGAACTGGAGACAATGAAAATCTTGTCAGGTAAATTGAATGCTGAGACCCTGTCTTCAGGGGATTAAAGTCATGTAATCACCATTTATTTATCACAGATAAAGTAAAACAAGTTACAGAATTGACCCTTTATAAAAATCTTATTTAGTGAGACAGACTTTATATACTTGTTAAGGTGCCACACATGGTTATACTCTGGGTTTGGATATAAATAAGAGTGATAATCTGGATTTTGATCAAGAGAATTAATTTTCTCTTGACAAGAAGTTGACAATGCATGGTATAAAGGAGCTGCAGAAATATTTGCTCTAAATACCTGTACTAAGATTATTATGTTTTACCTCCTTAAACCACAACGTTACTAAAGTCTGCTGGCCTTTTATAAAAGTTGAGGTTGATTAGCAGTGGTGATAAGACAGACTTGATTGGCAAGAGTTTTGTTAGCATTTCCTATTGCTTACCAAAATAAATGTGTTAAATGCTTCTCTGTCATGAAATAAAGAAAGGTGAAAAGATGGCCTTGATAGATTTTATTTTTTGTTTTATTTCCTTCTTTATTTATTTTGTTTTGGTTCTTTTTAAAAAAAAAAATTAATTCAAACCTAATGCTAACCAGGAATCGCAGCTGTAGCTCAAGTTCTCCTCAGGACTCAGAGACTTGTAACTTTAGCCATTAGCACCTTTGTGTGGAATGAGGAAATTACTCAAAGTGCCTTTAGTAAATCCATATTCAGTTAACTGGGACAAAGAAAATAAATATTTTTAAGTGAATAAACTTGAAGTTGATAAAACACCTATGCTAGTATTGTATGATTTTAAATATTTACTTTGAAAATGGATCTGCACTTCAGTGATTAAAAAAATATGAGTTCTTGGGGCTGGAGAGATGGCTCAACTGTTAAGAGTACAGACTGCTCTTGCAGAGGACCTGGGTTCAATTTCTAGCACTCACATGGTGGCTGACAACCATCTGTAACTCCAGTTCCATGGGATCTGATACCCTCTTCTGATTTCTGCAGGCATTGTATGACATGGATGCACTTACATACATCCAGGCTATACACTCATATACATAAAAATAATAAAATATTTAAAAAAATAATATGAATTCTTCTTGTTTTAATTCATAAAATATAAGGCATAAAAGATATGGAGAAAATAAAATTCCAGAAAAGTAGTGGAAACTTCCTTAACAAAATTAAGAAATTCTGTAATGTTTAGCTAGTGTTTCTTTGAAACAATTCATACAGAATCTTGTAGCTGCCCTAAAGATTAAACTCATTTAAAATTTAATGTTGTTCCAAGTTCAGGAAATACATATGAGTACCTATGATCACAGTGATTTTTTTTTAAGCTATCAAAAGTGTAATCCTAAACAGAGTATAGTGGTATATATAAAACTATTAAAACAATTTAAAAAATGACAGCCTTATATAATTAATAAATATTCAACCCAAAGAATTCCTTGGGGCTTGAGATGGAGAGTATGATGAATTTGAAATATTCCAAGATTAGGGAACTGGCGCTCTTCTTTTAACTCTTTGATTTTTGAATGAGTATGCATCCTCTTTTGGAGATACATTGATTTTGACTCATTTGCTGTTGAATTGATATATTTTTACCAGGCTGTATTATTTTTTGGATATATTTGATATACTGTTAGAAATGAATACAATTTTCATTTCAAAAAACACTTTATAGTAGGTCATTTCAAACCCATTAGATTTTAGTTGTCTGAAAAATGTAAGTTGCATCTTTCTTCTAGACTTGATAAGATTTTAGATACTATTAGCCTTTTTAATCTAATGCATTAGTTCTATTATAAAATTTTCATTCCTAATCACATTATTGTAGTATGTAGTGCCTGCAATTTTGTGAGTTTTTGGAAGGTAAAAATGTTTTTATTACTCTAGAAATTATGATTACCTTCCTTAGTTTTGCCTTATTAGGAGATAGCATAATAAATTATTTGTAAAATTTTGAAGAGATGAAGAAGAGGAGATTTACATGTTTCCATTCATATTTTTGAGGTTAAGTAGTTTATGATACAGTACCATAAAGTGTTTATAGTACAGTGTTACTTTTTCTCTAAAATTATTTGTTCATTTTAAGTACCATTGCTCTTGGGTTAAAAATTTGTTCGTAGGATTTCATCTGTTTATTAAAATTGATCTTATAGCTAACATTTGTCATTTTGCTGAACATCTCATTTCTTTTGGAATTGCCACCATTACTGTTTGAAAATCCTTTCTCCAAAGTCATATTTTGTTATTGTGCTAAAATTATTAAGTATACTTGCTATTTTTTTTAAACTTTGTATAGTGATCTTGGGAATTATACCTGTGTTTGGGGAGTGTGCATGTAGGTGGTTTGTGTGTGAGTATGCACATGTGTGTGCTGGTATGCATGTGGAGGCCAGACCTCCACCTTGTGTGTCATTCCTCATGGGCTCTCTACCTTGCTTTTTGAGGCAAGAACTATCACTAAGTCATTTCTCTGGATTCTTTATACAGAGCATTGCCAACTTCTCTTGTCAAGAGAAAATTAATTCTCTTACTCAAAATCTAGATTATCACTTTTATTTACATCTAAAGCCAGAGTGTAAGTATACTTGAGGATTAAACCCACGGCTTAATGAAGATCTTTTAAGTGAGGCTTTATTTTCTGTAAAGAGTTATTCCAAGGACTAGGAAATAACTCAATCAGTAGAGTGCTTGCCACTGTAGCCTAAGGAACTGAGTTGGATTCCCTGTACTCATAAAAAAAACAAAACAAAAACAAAAAAAAACCGGGTATGTAGGTGCTTGCTCTCAGTGCTAGGGGGTGGAGACAGGCAGATCCTTGGAGTCACTGGCTAGTCAGCATAGCTTAATCAAGGAACTTTAGATTTTAATGAGAGTCCTTGTCTCAAAAAACATAAGCAACACAGAAGCCTACAACTGACCAAAGTATAGAGAATAAGAGACTGCAGAGTGTGTGTCCCTGGATGGGACTCCTTTATTAAACCTTACCCACCCAGGACTCCAGGACTATTGTGGAAGGGGGGGGAGAGATTGTTAAGAGCCAAGGGTGGTGCATGACCATAAGGAAACAGACTTACAGGCTCTTAGAGCAGTGGTGACAACATGCACAAGACCGATGCAACCTCAATCAGACAAAAACCAGGATAGAACTGGGGAAATAGACAGGAGACCACAACCATAGCCAAAAACCTACTGGTAGCTGATCACTGCTTTGTGAGGGAGAGTCGATCTTCTTTGAGGAAATGACATTAGATAGGCTGAACAGCCTCCAATGGATGAACTCACACTGGGGGCCATCTGGGTACACAAACTTGACTTGATAGGCCTTAGCATATATGAAAAAATGAATGCAATCCTGTGGGCAGGCCATGAGGGGAGTGCAGATCGGGTAGGGTGTCTGAAAATGCTTAAAATGTATTTTATGAAATCCATGAAAATTCAATAAAAATATACTTAAAAAGGCAGACAGCTCTTGAGGAATGACACTCAAGGGTGACCTTTGGCTGCTGATTGCACACAGCATACACATGCATCCTTACACACAGGCACCTATATGCACACCCCCATATACACATACAAAATGTATTTCAGCATTTAGTCATAAATACATTATTCTCATTACATATTCCCTTTAGATTTTCCTATAAAATTTAAGTGCCTTGGGCCATATTTTTTTTCCTAAATGTAAACTTCATTTTTCTCAAGTTGTTTTGAACTAATATTTAAAACTCCGTAGGACCTACTATTTAGTTTTGAAACCACACCTCTATGTAATTCAGGCTGGTTAGAAAAACCTTTCACAGTTATTTTCCTTTTTCATTTAAAAGTATTTGTTTATATGTGAATTTACATGTATAAATCATTTCCTATCATTTCACAAATGCAGTTTATCAGCAAGCTGTAATCAGGTCCAACTGTTATTTCCTGCTTTGCTTGTAAGTTGTTCCCAGGTATTGGGCAATTAATTTAGCATTTCTCTATTTCAGCTTTTCCCTGTATTTTGGCTAATCAGAATCCTACTTTGTACTTTTAGGTATTTGGTGAATAATTGCTAAATGATGGTAAAATCTTTTCTATATAAAATACTAGGTCAGTGATATAAATCAATGCAAAGGGTACTTTTTGTATAGTGAAGTGTTATGATTGGTAAATGTGTTTTTAATAATAAATACTGATTTTTAATTTCTCAGAAAATGCACATATCTTATTTTTGTGTATAACTAATTCTAGAATACTGGAAATAAAATGAAGTTTATAATTTGTCAGTATATATTCTCTAAAAAGGTCAAACTAAGTATTTCTACCACATGAGAGAAATAGAATTATCAAGGTCCTAAAGGAGAAGATGGTTTATATTATTTTAGGAGAATTTTTTTTTTTTTTGATCTTTTTGAGACAGGGTCTCCTGTAGCCCCAGCTGTCCTGGAACTCACTATGTAGACTAGGCTGGCCTTGAACTCACGGAGATCCACCTGCCTCTGCCTCCCAAGTGCTGGGTTTAAAGGCGTGGGCCACCATGCCCTGCGGCTATTTTAGATTTTTTTTTTTAAACAGTGCTTTTGTTTTACCATCTGCTTTTTAAACTTAATTACCTGAGAAATTGTGCATTAAAGCCATATTCTTTTATGTTATAAATAAATGCACAATTTAAATGCTGAAGGCCAAATTGAGACCTATTAAAAATTATAGTATCTTTGAAGGTGCTTACCTGCTTTGATAAAGATCTTCTCTCTTATTTATTTTTGTTTCCATATCTTATGCTCAGCAAATACTTGATACATGAATTATAGATAATAAATTCCATATAAGTAATGCCTCTTGTTAAATTAATAAAAAAATCTGTTAATGAGCTAGACATGGTGGTGAATGCCTTTAATCCCAGCACTCAGGAAGCAGATGCAGGTGGATCTCTTGAGTTCAAGGCCAGCCTAGTCTACATAGTGAGTTCCGGGCCAGTTGGGGTTACAGGGAGACCGTGTCCCAAAAAAATCTGTTTAATTATTATTT